GGTGAGTTTCTTGCTGAGATATGTTGGGAGGGCTTCATGGTATCTAGGGGTGTGAAGGCATTTGATGTTGTACTGTCTTTGGACTGATTTGGGTTGCTTTCAGTGTTTCAACACAGCCCTGATGAACATGATTCATCTCACTAAACGATGATTGGTCCTCTCATGACACATGTGATATGGACATCTTTTAGATGACATGCTTTTACAATGATGTAGGTGAGAAGGTGCCATTGCTTTGAGTGGGGATGTTGCCATGTTGTTTTGTACCTGCCATATTGTCTGAAGATAGTGTTAGTAATGACAAGGTCATTTATTGAGTAAAAGGATGCCATTGGAATTGGCCTTGCCCTTTCCTTCCTTTCCAATGGTGCCTTTTACATGTTAAAGTCCCGGCCAACTCTCACATTATTTTTTCCTCCAGAGCTCCCCCCTCACCCCCACAGACACTGCTGCTTACCAGGCTGCTAGCTGGCTGGGCACTGCCTAAGCTCCAAGGGGCCTGATACTTTTTTCCTCTGGAACTTGCCCCCACCCCCCATGCACTGCCACTGGCAGAAGCAGCAAGCTAGTCTGGATGGCTATGGAACTGTGGCCACCAGGTACTTCAGGGCTGCAGCACCAGCTCTGCCAGACATCCCTAGGTGGCAAGGTGCTGTGCTTGGCCCTGCTGTGCCCTGGTGTCCTGCTCACCCTGACTCAGGAGGGACCACTCCATTCTGGGATGCTGGAGGACTTCAACATGGGCAGAACAGCTGTGGAAAGTGGCCACACCTTAATGGAACAGAAGCCGAATTAGGGGGATTAAAGATAATCCTGCTCTGGAGTGGTGTAACTTTAAGACACACAATGAACGCTTTAAGCCACTTAAAGGTGTTAACATGTAGCCAATCCAGGGGTTAAGAACTTCAGAAGCCCCCTAAATTTACCATGTAACAAGGCCTTAAATGTCAACATCTCTAGACAAGTTACAACTTACTTCTCCCTTCCCACTAGCCCACCTCTTCTATGAAGTGCATTATGGCTGAAGACATGGCTTAACCCAGCCCCTTAGCCTTATTCACTTGACTCAGGGGTGGGCAAAATGCAGCCCAGGGGCTGGATGCAGCCTACCAGGCCATTCTATCCGGCCTGTAAGGCCCCTAAAAAATTTAGAAAATGAATATTTATCTGCCCCTGGCTGCCTATCATGCAGCCCTTGATGGCTTACCAAAACTCAGCAAGTGGCCCTCCACACAAAATAATTGCCCGCCCTTGACTTAACTGTTCTTGTAAGGTGAATCCAGAGGGTAGGGCTTGCATATTATACTAGACTTAGACACAAGACTCCAACAGATCTTATATGGTCCCACCAGGGGACTGGGTCCTCTCCCCACTTCACTCCAGTTAACTTTCTCAGGTCTGCTTTGTGGACCCACTTTTATTTTAGCTATTTTTTTCTTTGTATTATTCTGAACAAAGCAGAGGTAAGAACTTGGAAAATGGCATGATTATGTTCTCTACACCCAGAGTCAGCCACTAGGTGACACTACTAAACTGTTTATTGGTATGGTTGCATGACAACAATACCCTACCACACCCTAAAGATATAAAACTGAGACTGTTATCTGGAGAGGAAGAAAAGAAACCGTCTATTTTAAAGGAAATAATTTATTAAATTACAAAGGGGAAGGGGAAACAAAGCCTCTAATCGCTCAGCTTTTTCTACCAACATTTAAAAAAACACCCTCTTTCTCAGGATGTACAGTTTATCTACAATTCCTTTGGTTTACAAAGGAAAAGAGCAGCAATATGCAAACAGAAATACAAAAAGGTACATGAGTGCCAAAAGTCCCAAGAGACAGGCTGAAATTGGTGGTAAACACTGAGGCCTACAGACAGAGTAGGGAAACCCTCCCCTGGTAAGCCAGACACCCTAAAAGTAGGTTAACCCACAGTGAAGTCCCTGGAAGAGCCGGCGAAGCCAGACTGACATGCTAATTGAACTAATGGGGCCACAGTAGCATAGCTGGAAGTTTGGTGCTGTTCAGGGGTCAATGAAACAAAGAGGCTCAGAGCAATGTGTGTCATTATGTGGAGCAGCTGTAATTTCAGAAGGGTAATGGTCAAGTTCATAGCCACCTGGTAATAGATCTTGAGCAATATGTCTGTGTGTGGATATACAGACATGCAAACAATTTCCCCATTGAGTAAAAGGAGGTAAGGCTTTACCATACACAGGCTACTGGACAAATTGAATACCCACTCTTTTCCTCTGGTAAATGGAAGCCCAGCACATAGTGGCTTGGTCCTCAGTTAAAAAAAAGGTAACCTACCTCAGTTAAGATCCCACTTATTGCATGCAGTTATTGGGGGATAAAAGCCCTGCTCCCAGACCCCGCAGTAAACTGTTAGTATAACCATATTCAGAGACACCAGAGGCAGAGTGACCATATGTAGCATTTTAGCCAGGACAGTATTGGATTTCAGAGGCTGGTCCTGACCAGATGCTGAGAATTATAATGAGCATCCTGGAAACACAGGGCCATGGGGCACAATCTGGCTGGGCATCGGAGCAGTGCAGAGCACCTTGCAGGTGGGCAGACAGGCACCCCTGCTTGCCCTGCATGCAGCCCCACCCTCACCCCCACCCCTGCTGCCTGGTGAGAGTGCAAGTGGGGAACATAATGTCCCAGATTTTCTGGATGATATCCTGGATTTCTGGGACTTCCATATGGTCAGCCCAACTAGAGGTGTAAATTTAACAGAAGATTAGTTAAACTGCATAAATGCCTGTGTGGACATGCCTGTTCAGTATTAAAGTGGTCTTAATTAGATTGGTTTTACATTACCTTGGGAATGAATTGAGCTCAATTGAATTAAGGCCATTTTAATTCTAAAGAAGCATGTCTACACAGAGATTTAATGTGGTTTGACTAATTCACTGTAAATTCACATCTTTAATTTTTTTGAGAGCTCCTGTGTAGATGAGTCCTGACTGATATAATCTCTGGCTGTCTCAGCAGAAAGGCAAGACCAAAGTGCACAGAAATTGGAATATCCTTTCCAGCTCAGTGATGTAAGGTGCTTTGCCATCAAGAGATCATGGGAAAGCTAGCAGGGACTGCAACAATGCTATCCTTGCACTTGGGTTTCTATATCATGTTAATTTCCATGCTCTTCCATGAACAATAATATTCCTCCCTCTTTCTCTCCAATAGCAAAAAATATTTCAAGCACTGCGAGATACTAGCCTAAAAATCCAAAGTTGCTTAAAAAGTACAATGATTTACAAAATAGAAGAAAAGAAAAATTGGGGACTGTGAAGATATAATGCAAAAAAAAAAAATCTCAAACTACCACGGGTACAAAGAAATCTTCTAGCAAAGTTGATCTAACGAGGACCACAGACTTCTCTTTAAAAAGTCAGTGGTCTGGGCTTTACACCATTAAAAGAAAAAACATTAATATCTTTTTTTAAAATATTTTTCTAGAATCTCACTTCTTGGGCTGATAGAAACAAAAGCCCTGTCACAAGACACTGTAGAGTATTTTACCTCGCACAGTGGCCCATAACTAATGGTTCAAAAGGAGAGAGAAAGCCCTCATCCTTCATCTGGACAGTTGTAGGGAATAATTGTTTCAGGCAGAAAATAAGGAAATATAAGTGCTGTGGCTGTGACTAACATTGCTGCCAATCTTCCTTTCATTCTTCTACATGATATTTTTACACATTTTCTTTAACTGTTTGCATCAATGGTTTAGGGAAACTGACTTTATGTTCTATGAACAAGTATATGTTTAATTTTATCCATGTATTAAAACACAAAAGGTTTTGATCAAGGTTCAGTATTCCAAAGTATTCTGACACAAAACAGTGATGAATGGAAGGGAGGGCTGTGCTTAACTGCTGCATTTTCCCTTTGCATAAGCATGTCACTTTCATTTTATGGCTAGGATGTGTCAGTTTGGGGTCAAGAAACCTGGGAGCTAGAGAAGTTGCAGACTAATAATGGGAAAGTTATTTTATATCTAAAAATGTATGAAACAGGGACCTTATATTAGTTTTTTTCTACCAAAAGAGATGATGCATGCTGCTTAGAGCATTCTTCACTTTCTATTTTGAACCTTCACTTTCTATTCTGAACCTAAACACAAAAAAATGGCACAGTTGCAACATTGCCATTTTTTTGTGTCCAGGGATGGCTGTGTGTTTCACAGATGATTTACGAGATAATTGTGTACCGAGTTAGCAGTCAGTTGTAAAGCATGCAAGTCCTTTGCAGTAGTTCAATAAAAGGTTCTAGAATAATCAATCATAGATTTATCATCCTCGATCTCCCCTCCCCTCAGATATCTCTCTGTAATGTAGATGCAGACAAATGGGAATACACTACAGCAAAAATAACAAGCCCCACACTTTTTAATAGACCTGGTTATTTGTTTAACAAACACCAAAAGGACCAATAAGAACAAACAACTGATGTATTGGCTGACAAGTAAAAGGAGAGTAATTCCTCCCTGTAAAATCCCTATGAATTATAGTATTCCAGTATGGTTTGATGTCCTGTGCCATACTTAAATGTAGCATAAAAAGTGACTCAGAAGAGGAAAAAATGGCTCTCTCGTTATAAATGGATATGAAACAGGATAATAAAAACATGTCTGACCAGTGCATATGAGAAAGGGTGATCCTAGTAATACTCTGCATTTATATACAGCCATGCAGTTCAATGATTTCTAAGTGCCGCACAAACATCAATTAACACCTTACAACATCCCATAAATAAGCTCAGTTCTATCAATGTTCCTCATGCAGCTGATAGATAAACTGAAACAGAGAGCACCGAGAATGCAACCCCACGCTCCTGAATCCAGCTCTCTTGCCCCAACAGCTGCACCCCACTTGCTCCATGTTGCTGCAATTCAGGAAGTGAATTCTCAACCCATGCATATATAGAGAGATAGTGCAGACCACTCGCTGACATTCCTCATCTTATCAAGCCCCATTTCCAGCAACTTACTTCATTGAAAAACAGCCGTGTAAAGTTTTGATACTCTTCACTACTTGCATTGCTAAAGCCTGGAACATATTCCACACTTGTTAGTTTTACCGTTCCATTAAGTTTTTGAGCAGCTGCAAAATTAAAAGAAAGTTATTGAGAAGAATTATTTCACAGATTGTGGCTCATGGACCACTGGCAGCCTAGAGAGAGTTCTCTGGTCACATGGTCTTGGTTCTGCTCATATTCATGGACAGGTGGTCTATCTGAGCACCAAGAATTTCAAGCAGGAAGCTCTACTGCCCTTTAAATAGTAGGAGGGGGCCAAAGCACTATTAAAAAGTCAGGAGAAGGTGCCAGGGCTTGAGCAGTTTCAGCACTGTCCAAGCTCCTTGTAGGAAGGTCCCTGCAGGGCACTCTGATGGCCTGTTTTTTGGCAAGCCATTAGCAAGCCAGTGCACTCTTCCTTTCTCCCTTGGTGGGGTGGGAGGGAAAGCAAAGGACTGTAAGCTAACAGGAGCCCTAGGGATCCTGAGACAAATGTACAAGCATTATATGCCATACTAGAAAACTTCTCTCTCTGGAGATGTTGCTGATGGGAAGTGCTAGCACTTTTTCATGGGAGAGCTAGCCTCCTTCCATGAAGAAAACACCTTAATGCCTGTATGCTAGCTTTTTGTTCCAGGAAAGAGGCATTTTACCTGGCACAAATATAATGCCTGTCAAGTTTCCAGCTGCTGTGTTACATCAAGGCAAACTAAAAACACATTAAATGAATGTCCTGCTATTATTTTTTCACATAAGCTATTGGTGTAGTTGCTTGAGGGAAGTCATATGACCGTGGCTGGGAAGGGCAGTGCTCCCAAAGATATGATTGCATCCACAGAATCATTTCAGTACCAAGCTTCAGGGCAGACTTTATAGTACTGTTACAACTGGATTCACTGTCAGTCCACTGTTTTTAAACAAGCCCCTACCCAGACCTCTCTTAAATGCCAGCTTGCATTATAGACTTCAACAGCAGTAAAGTCCAATTACAAATTTGTTTCTAAATAAAATTACCGGTCTTTACTTTCAGATGTGCTGATTTACTTTCCTTCATACAAACTTCTGTCCCGATTTTGACTGTGTATAAGACCCCAAGTTCCAGTCCTGTCACTGTCAAGTGTCTGCTGCGAGTTTTAGTTTCCCACATCAGCTGATCTTCACGAAGCAGTAGAAATCGGAAAACAGGATTCTGCGTAGATTCTGTGGACCATGCTGCATGAAAGCTGGTGCTACTCACATTGTAGAGAATAATCCTTTGAGCTGGGGCAGGTACTGGGAAGAAAAGAGAACCACCACCTATCAAACCTTTTGGTGGGAAAACTATCATCTCAGTTTAAAATCAGCTCTCAAAGCAGGCTTGTTCCATCCTGCAGTGGAGAGGAATGCATCTAAATCTAAATGGTAGATCAGTGGAGCTTAGAGACTCTTGCTCTGCATGGGTCTTCCATTTCTCTTGAACCTCCAGAAGAGACTCTCAAGAAATCAGCCTTGTTCAAAGCATTGGTTATGAAAAGATTAAAGCAGTGATTCCCAAAGGGTATGCCGCAGCACACTAGCATGCCACAGGAGTGAAGGCAGTGCACCACAAGATCCTGTTAAGAGTAAATGCTCTCCTCCCCTGCCTGGCACCCTGTGTCTGCCCCAGCTACTCCAGCAGCACATGTGACTGCACCTGTGACTGCTGCTGCTGCCTTCCCCCACACTTCCCGACCCCAAATGGCCCCTGTGCCAGCCTTCCCCATGCTCCCAGCCATTGGTCCTGCTGCAGGCAGGCATGTGGATGCCCTTAGCCCCTGAGGTACAGACCAGGGGTCGGGAGGCACAGTCAGCGGAAAAAGTAGGGTACACCAGGGTGAGGCCCTAACCTAGCCACCCATAAGTGGTACCAGCTAGAGCAGCAATGTTTTTGAGCCTCAAGGGCCCCCTCCAGATCTTTTCTGAATGTAAATCTATTTCAGCACTTTTCAACTGAGGTGCTGTGAAATTCAGAGAAGTGTACTACCAACTTTAATCCAGAAAAAAGTGTGGCCCTGGTATCAAAAGTCTGGGAAACACTGGTTTAAGGCCATGATCCTTCCTTAACTAATTTTCAGTATTATACAAAGGCCTATAGGTATGCCATCTTGCCTACTATTACAGGCTATGCATGGTGAGTAAGAAGAGGGTAAGACTGGCTCAGTTCCAGGGCATGTTTTCCATCACTGGGCACAGCTACATGAGAGCTTTATCACAGAGCTGCCTAATTATCTCCACAGTAAGATAATTAACTCTGCTGCAAGTTTACAAATTTACAAGGACTATCCTGCAGCAGAGTTCTTCCAGCAATGCCCTTGAAGACACTGACTGGTCTGGCTGGGGCACAAGGATGCTTCAATGTGCAAACTGCCTGCCAGCTAGCCACACACTGGAGCACCCTCGTGCCCCAGCCAGCCCCTCCATAGCACGTTGAGCCAGATCAGAGCAGCCCCATGCTGGCAGGCTGGCTCCCCAGGCCCTCTGCCAGCCAGGGCTGCTCCAACCTGGCTCAACATGCTACAGTCCTGGACACACATGTAAACTTGGCACTTTGGTGCAATAAATTCTGGCATGATATGCATTGGAGTTTATTACTAGCAAGTGTAGACATGCCCAAAGGGATGTACTTTGTATCCCTAGAGCTGTATACACTCCACAGAGATTTCCTTCCTTCCTCCTTGTGACCAACACATACTGCTATAAGGAATCTGCTTCAAGTGCTGATCATAGCGAGCAGCTGGCTCTTTTCTGCCTCCACCTTTGGCTGAGCAAATTATTTTTGGGGTTTTTTTCTTTTTGTTTTAACATTTTCACAAAAAAACCCACAGATTTAGGTCAATTTGTGCAGAAATCTTTTGATTTGTTTTAGCTGGAAAAGGACAGTAAAGAAACTGAAAAAGTAAAAATGAAATCCTTTAGCATATTAGAAATGAATTGTTCTGACATTTTGTTTTGAAGCAATGCTTTGGTTTTTAAAAAGTCTTAAGCAGGTGGGGAAAAAGCAGAACTTCATTTTAGGTCAAATAAAAATGTCATTCAACTCCCAAACCCAATAAGAATGTGAAAGAAAGAAAAGAAAAGGGGAAAGAGGAGAAAGCTATGCTCTCTACATGGCTCCATGAAGCAGCATCTCAAGGAACTAGAAGAGTAGAAGCCGTAGAAGAGAATTTCCAGGAAACAATGTGAGAACCAAGGAGGTCCAGTCATGGGCGACTAGTGCCACCTTAGGCAGGGTGCCAATCTCTCTGGTGCCAATCTCACCAATGGGAGAGATGCACATGCAGGAGGAAGACAATGGGGGGAGGGGGGAACCCCCCACAGCCGATCACAAAGTGGCCACTTCTATTCCCCGGCCGGTGCTCACAGGGGGGGCGCCAGTGCTCCTTCCTGTCCCCCTGCCCATCACCTAAGCAGTGAGCGTGGCCTGTCAGGGGGTGCACCGGCGCTCTCAGAAGATGCACATGCACCCCCGTGCACCCACTACATGTTGCCACTGGGTCCAGTCCACAGAGAAAAGACGGGACCTGGGCAAATGTGAAGGGAGACAATCCAAGAAGTGAGAGACCCTAGTGCAGGAGGAAGACAATGGCACAGAAAAGGCTGGTATGAGTGATGGAAAAGATTTAGGAATAAGAGAAAAAAATAAAAGAGAAGCCAATGAAATGAAGTTAGGATAAGCTGAATAATTTTCATAGAAACTGTGAATTTGGTAATTTTGCAAAAAAACATAGGGACCACAAAAAAAGCAGGAAAATGACCAGCAAAGGAGGGGGGGGAGGGGAGAAAGGGAGCTGCAAACGGACGGGAAGCCCTGGTGTCCTAAAGTATGGGAGGGAGGTGAAGGAGGAAGACTTTCAGGGCAGAGCACAGCAGCCCCCCTCATGCCTCTGATTGGCCAAGGGGCCCTGGAAGTCCCGCCTCTCCATGGAGATTGACAGATGACCTCCAGGGAAGAGCAGGACTTCCAGATCTCCTTGGCCAATCAGAGGTGTGTGGAGTGGGGGGGCATCGCAAAAATGGTGCCAGACACTTCAGTTGGCCTCGCTGGGAATTTGAAGGAACTGCAAGGTCAGGTTATCCCCACCGCAATTCTCCCCAGCCAAGGGCTCTCTTGCAAATGTCTGTGCCAGGAAAATGCTTCCCCTATGTGTCAAAAGAGTTTTCATAGCCCCTATATGCTCCTGCTTCTGTGGCCGACCACAGCAGGAGAGAGAATCAAAGATTTGTGTGGAGACACCACCTAGCATCAGTATTTTCAACAGAGCAGTATTTTAAGTGTCACATGATGCACCCTATGGGCTTTGTAAAAACAGACTTCTGAAAAGTCAGTCATTGATAGAACTTCTGGAATAGTATTTGAAGGCGCAGTTATCTTGATCTGCTTATTTAGAAACAGCCACCTAAAACTGACACCAATTCCAGAAAGAAGAAAAAATATCTCCATTTGGTCAGTTCCCTTCCATTCCCCAGTACAGCAGTATACATCTTTCCAGGCTCTAACTGATATCTTTCTTCTCATACAGTCCAGTAGTCCAGTAACAAAGAGTGGAGGACAGTGCTGAGTATACTCACCGCAATCTGTGGTCAGGAAGTTCATCGTGTTGGAAGCAGGTGAGAAGTCAGGCCGTGTGGTTGACACTGAGAAGGATTCTTTCAGGTATTTCTCAGACCAAGTGTTGTTCTCTCTGCCTATCTCTTTATCAACTGTAGAATTTAGCTTATGAACTCCAACATTTTCTGTAATGGGAAAAGTTGTACTGGAATTGTCCTGAGAGCTAGCTCCAGGAAGCTGGAGATGGGCATGTCGGTCTCTGAAGGTTTGATTTCTTGCAGTAGTCGACAATATGGATGGTGGTGAATTGTGATGTTCTTGCCCAGCTATACCTGTGAAAGCATCTGTAGTAGTAGCCAGGTGCTGTGGTACACCAGTAATAGTCTTTCTCGTGGGTTTTTCAATTAGCATGTTTACAGTCTTCCACTGCTCTGTTACCATGGTTGGTGTTCCCATGGTTGTTTCCCTCACCATACCCATTGTGCTACTGTTCCTGCCAAAACCAATTGAAGAGGCCATGCCCTTTCTCCAAGCTGCTGGAGGAGTTTGGGTGGAAAGATGACTATCTGATGCTTGCATGCCACTTGATGGCAGCCCATGGGGTACATTTAATGTGGTACTTGTATTGGAACGGAGAGGAAAAATTGTTCTCATTTCAGTATTTGCTGGAGAAGTGTACAATGCAGTGCTTGTTTCAGGAGGTATATCTGTAATCCTTGATGCACCTGGGGGCATTGTTTCAGTCACAGGGTTTACAATTTCACCTGCAACAACATTTTCACATGACATGGAAGTTCTAAATCAAGCAAGAAGAACATTATAGCAATCTGTATTTTATTTTATTTATCTGTCAGATCATTTTAATGGCAACAAGACTCATATTTTGCTAATGCCTTTTAGCAAATATGATACTCAAGACAGGTGTTAACATTATGTTTAGTCCTGTGTTGAGTTGTAGAAAGATCCAGATTCAGCTCTTGGTCTCTCTCTTCAGCCCCAGACAGACATTACACTTTAGATATAATTAACATGTTAATCATGTCTTAAGTAGTAGCCCAAACACATGGTCATGCAATTAATGGTGTGATAAGATAGGGAATAAGCAACAAAGTTATTACACAAAATATGTATAACTGTGACTGGTTCCCATCACACCTTAAACTGCATGTGCAGCCAGCACCAACAGGTCACCTGAGGAAGTTGCAGTGAGAGAAGTTTACATTAGATATTAGGAAAAACTCTCTCACTAGGAGGGTAGTAAAACACTGAAATAGGTTGCCCAGAGAGGTGGTGGAATTTCCATCCTTGGGGGTTTTTAAGACACAGCAAGACAAAAAGCCTTGGGTGGAATGATCTAGCTGGGGATGGTCCTGCTGTGAGCAGGGGGTTGGACTAGATGACCTCCTGATGTTCCTTCCAACCCTAATTTTCTATGATTCTAAGTGCATCATAGCTCTTCAAGACTGGTGCACTCCCATGGCTGGAAGTGCCAGTCAGCTGATCAGCCCTCCCAGCTATTTCATAGATTTCATAGACATTAGGGTGGAAGGGACCTCGGGAGATCATCGAGTCCCGCCCCCTGCCCCGACGGCAGGAAGCCAGCTAGGGTCAGAGGATCCCAGCAAGATAAGCATCCAAACACTTCTTAAAGGAGTCCAGAGGAGGTGCTTGCATCGCCTCTGGAGGGAGCTTATTCCAGGCCTTGGGGGCTCAGACAGTAAAGAAGTTTTTCTTATGTCTAGCCTAAAACAGTCTTGGAAGAGTCTGTGACCATTGGACCTCGTCATACCTTGGGGCGCTCTGGTGAACAGACATTTCTCCAGATCCTGATGTACACCCCTGACGTACCTATAGGCTGCCACCAGGTCACCCCTGAGCCTGCACTTTTCTAGGCTAAAGAGTCCCATGGCTCTCAGCCTCTTTTCATAGGGCCTATTCTCTTGCACTCTGATCATGCACGTGGCTCTCCTCTGGACTGTCTCAAGCTTCTCCACATCCTTCTTGAATTGTGGAGCCCAGAATTGGATGCAGTACTCCAGCTACACCCTCACCAAGGCTGAGTACAGCGGGAGGGTGACATCCTGAGATTTACCTGAGAAGCATCAATGGATGCAGGCCAGAGTTTTGTTCACTTTACCAGCTGCGGCATCACGTTGGTGGCTCGTGTTCATCTTGTGGTCAGTCATGACCCCCAAGTCTCCTTCGGCAATGGTGCTAGCGAGTGTAGCACTGCTGAGCCTATAAGCATGCTACGGGGGTTTTCTCCAAGGTGGAGTACCTTGCATTTGTCAATATTCAATGTCATCAGGTTTGTATTTGCCCACTTTTTCAGCCTATCCAAGTCAGCCTGGATCACCAGCCTATCCTCAGGTGTGGATGCTCTACCCCAAAGCTTGGTGTCACCAACAAACTTGGCCAGTCCACTTCTGACAGTAGTATCCACGTCATTGATAAAGATGTTAACGAGAACAGGTCCAAGGACATAGCCCTCGGGGACACCACTGGTCACAGAGTGCCATGATGATTCACTTCCATTGACCACCACTCTCTGGGTCCGGCCTCAGAGCCAATTCCCCAGCCATCAGACTATGATGTAGCTGAGGCTACAGTTGGCCAATTTATTCAAGAGGAGATCATGGGATACCAGATCAAAGGCTTTTTTAAAGTCCAGATATATGACATCAATCTCTTCTCCCTTGTCCACGTGATATGTCACCTGGTTATAGAAGGAGATGAGATTGGTCAGGCAAGACCTACCCACAACAAACCTGTGCTGGCTGTCTCTCAGGATGTTTCCATCAGCCAGCCTGTGAAGAATGGTCTGTTTGATGGTTTTTTCTAAAATCTTTCCAGGGATTGAGGTCAACCTGATTGGCCTGTAGTTCCCTGAATCTATTTTCCTCCCTTTCTTGAAGATGGGCACCACATTGGCCTTCTTTCAGTCTTCAGGTACTTCACCTTAGCACCAGTTTTCGAAAATCTTTGCCAGTGGCTGAGCTATGACTCCTGCCAGGTCCTTAAGTACTCTGGGGTGCAATCTGTCAGGACCCACTGACTTGAAGTTGTCCAGCCTCTCAAAGTGTTCCTTTACAAGGTCTACACCAATGCTGGGTATAAATTCACCGTCACCCTGGCTGCTGTGGAGCCAAGGGCTCTGATGTGCTCCCACGTCTGGGAGTGCCAGCAACTGAACAGAGCTCCCAGACATGGGAGCACCAGGCACCTGGCTTGCTACCTGAGAGTCCAAAGGGAGCAGTAATCATAATCCCAGACTCCCCCTGCACCAGACTGGGATCTGATTCCTGATCCCACAATCATGCCTCCTGCCATGCATGTGTGTTACGGCAAGAGATGTGATTGTTGGGATCATAGCCTAGATCCCATTGAACCTTTAACTGAATATCGGCCAGTGGTCTTCCAGTCAGCAGGACTTACATTTTCATAGGAAAGGCACTTAGCTCTAGGATTATCAGAAAAGGAAAAAATGCCTCAAATTAGTCTAGGCCAGGCCAATCTTTTGGCTAATTAAGAAGTGGCATTAGGAGGTTTCACAGGGAGACTTATCCCATGCTCTGCTCCTAGAAAGAGGGTGGTTGGTATCAGAGCCTTGAGTATTTGGTGATATTAGGCAATGCGTGCTTTGGCTTAGGGATCTCATCTTGCATACAACTGGAAGGCATTCACTATCCCCACTGGGTGAATGTTGAATACTACTAGAAAATAAAGTGGAGGGAGAAAGCCCTTGCCAAATAAATGAAACTGAATACAACTCTCTTGTTCACCTTCACAGTTTCTTCCAGGGTGAGACGGATTGGTGTCCATGGTTGTCTTGCATCGGCACCTGTAGGAGCCCATTGAGTTGATACACTCAGCATACATGGAGCAGTCATTCTCTGGAGGAAATGCACATTCGTCCCAATCTGTAATGCCAAAACAAAAATGTCAGTAAAGCAACCCTTCTTCTGATTGGATTACAAACAATCACAAAATGATCCTTCCTGAATATTTTGACTGACTTAAATGGTCTTTACCATTTACCTGACAACCAAATGTTAAGCAGCTCAAAATACCACTTGATTTTGAAATCCTTACAAATAAAAATCACATCACCTCCATTTATTTCAATGGGCATCCTAGCCAGGAAAATAATTTTGATCAAGGTTCTCCGATTTACACACAGATTTAGATGTTTGCTTGGCATTAGAAAATAAGATATGTATTTATACAAAGGAAACAGAGACGCAAATTCATCTAAAGTATACATTCCATTGCATTCAGTTTAACAGTGTCTCATGAATTCGTGTATCAGTGGAGCTGCATGCCAGCAGACTCCAACATGTCAGCTAGATATTTTGGTTACTTTAAGAAAGAAATTGAATCCAATTAATTTCTTATGTCAAATAAAGAGGTCAAATGTAACTGCTGCATATAAGAAGCATTCCCTAACAGCAAGAGGAGGCAGAGCATTTCTACCCTTTGAGCTTTTTAAGGGCAGGGAGGACGTGTTTTTTTTTTTAACTGTATCATAAAGACTGGGGACACAGCTGCCACCCTTTAAGGCAGTCTCCACAGAAAAACCATGCTGGAAACTGCTCCTAAAAGTCTAAAGAATCCTTCCAGATTTGCTTCCAGGTATCCCACTAGGGTAGAATGGAAAAAACTTCCATCACCACTGCCTGTCCTAGGAATCCATTTTGTAGCTAGACACTAAACTTAATTCTCAAGGTTCTCAATCAGGCCTCTTTCGTTAGCACTTGGATCCCGACCCAGCAAACACCTAGACATGAGGTTACCATTATAGATAGGGATCTCCCTAAATCACAGCAGAAGTGCCCCCTGCAGTGACTTCTTTAATGTTTTTCATGTCACTGCTTGCCCCACCCCATCCACCACCTGATTGGTGGAGGTTTTAAATATGCTGCAGTTTTTGTTTCAAAGGAGATCAGTGGCAAACACCACAGCCAGCAGCCAATCAGATGCTGGGGAGGGGGGGCAAAAGGTGAAAAGAAAAACATTAAAGGAACTGCTGCAGGGGGCACTTCCAGTACAATTTATGGAGATCCCTAAGTATAGGCTAAGTTTAATGCAACTTCTTGCTTGTGTACAGTTCATAGGACCAGAACCTTAATTCACTTGGGATTGAGGGAAGAAAAAAGACTAAAAATGCAGTCCAAGATGCAAAACATTCTGATCACAGAGCTGGAAAATTGTCTTGCACAAAGCAACACTACAAGCCCTTGTTCTGAATGTGTACAGGCAACAGTTACTGCAATTAGTTTTCACTAACAAAGGACAGTTCTTTTCTAAAAATAGAAAAAGGAAGAGCACGTGTAAGCACATATGTATGTGTGTGCATTGTCTTTGTGTCTGCACTTATCCTTCATCTGGTATTTCCTTCTAAGTGATGTTTTAATTCTCTGTCTTTCATGCTCATTAGCTAATTGCCATATTTTATTTATCCACAGTGGGTGTTTCTTTAGAAGTCAAGATCTAACCCCTTGGACAGGGTATAGAGGTACTACAATTTGCTATACCAGGAGGCACAAAAGCAGTTCACTGCTGCTTTACCAAGACATGGGGCAACTGAGATTTTTTATTTGTTTTTAAATGCTGGGACAGAGATATATTCCCTCTAAGTAAGAAGGAATTTATGTTCATTATTTGAGTTTTCCCTCCGTGTGCTTAATAAGGCCCTGCGCCCACCTGGCTTCGAATGCCTGCTCGCAGGCCGCTTTGGCCCGGACAGCAGAGGGTGTATGCTTTCTAGCTTCGTGGGTTCCTTGAGGTGGGCTTCAGTTGTCCCGCTGGCCTTCCCTGAACTCTCCTGCCACGTCTTTAAATGTTATGTCAGTGTAGGGTTCAGCCTCGAAACTCCCCTCAGGGATGACCACTCCGCTTGCAGGGTGTTCATGGGGCTCTACCTCCCCTACACCCCAGCCTTACACCAACCTCCAGCAGGGCGCCAGATTTTGTCTCAGCTGCCGCTCCAGTGTGGCTTTTCCTTATGCCCTGTGGTATCCCCTTTTCTCCTTGGAGAAGGATACTTAGCCAGCCCAAACTCCGGGCCTGAGATCCCCTTTGAGCTGGTTGGCTCTTTTCCTGGGGCTTAAGTGTGCCCCTGTTGAGCAGGGGTAAAGAAATAAAATGAAGAAAAAGAAATAAAGAGAAAAGGACCTGAAAAGGGGTCTTCCTGTCCGGTATCCTACCGGTCAGCTTTCCCAGCCCACCTGCCTGAACTTGGCAGTTCTCCCCTGACGCTGGTCCTGTGGGGTCCCTCTCTTCCTTCCGCCCCCTAGCCCGGCTCCCTGACCTGGTACCTGGGGTGTTCGAGTGGGAAGACCTCCACTTCCCCGAGGTTGGTTTTCACCTCTTCTTTGCATTCACCGAATTGGCCACACCGCCACTTGGTGTCTTCCCTAATGAACCTCCTTAATGACACAAGAAGGAAGTCACTCCCAGTGTTCCACCCTTCCCATGGCTCAATCTCAGTGTCCATGGTGTAGGGAGCTCTCGCTGCTTCCCCAGCCGCCCAATATCTAGGCACTCCCTGTGTGTGCTGGTTCTGCCTGTTGCCAGCATGGAGAGCCTCTGCCTCCTCACTGGCTCTCCCCTCCCTACTGCCGGTGGCCGCTTTTATCCCTGCCGGCTGGTACGTCGTTATGACATCACCAGCTGGCCTTAATTGCATAAAGGCATGGCTTGTAAACTGCACAGGCTTTTCTCTTCTGTCTTCTGGCATCACTCCTCCTGCAGGTAAGTGGTTATTTTGCATTTCTTTCTTTATTTTAGTGTTTCTTCCCACACTGAGGCCCATGGGTGGGGCTTCCCGGTCCTGCTTCTCACTATCTCCAGGACAGGCCCCTTTGTGCAACTTCCTTTATCCCTTCAGACTAATAGTCTTATTTCCTGATGCAACAGCCCCAACATCCATATTCACCCCCTGACTGCTTGTCTGTATACTCCAACTCTCTCTTGCCCTGTCTGCTGCAGGTTTTGTACCTCAGTCCTACTCCACTCATTCTGTGTGCTCCCTACCTCTTCTCACTGTATCTCTCCACTTCAGTCTGCTTTTTACTGTCCCTTCTTTTTTCCTGAATTTTTCCCCTAATTCCACCCTAAAAACTTCTCATTCAATTTTTTTTTTAATTGTTTTCAGGCCACCACTTTGTTCATTCTACTCTCACATTATATTTGTGCATGTAAAAGTTGCATACATGCTGTATTCTTAGTCTATTTAGATTGTGTTATCTTCAGGGCAAGGACATTGTACCACATTTATGTTTGAACAGTGCTGAGCACAGTAGGACCCTGTTCTTGTGGAGTCCCTAAATACTGTCCCAGAAAACATAATACAAGTGATGTAAGACTCCAAAGAAAGATGCTTACTGTGCCTCTCCCTTTCATTACACCATCTTGTCTGACTTTTCATCTCTGCTTTTTAAAGGTTGGATTCTCTTGTCCACTGACTTCACTTTGTGATGAACTAAATGCTTAACCTTTATGGAAATTTGTAGAGGTGCTCACTGTTTTCTAAACTGTGTTAACTGATTCACATTACATAGTTCAAATCAAATTTTAATTGGAATTAAAGGTTAATAGATGATCACTGACCATCACGGCAGGGGGCACTGGCATTACACAGTCTTTACACTTGACAGCCCCTTAACAGACCCAATTTGCAGCCTGTGTGAGAGCTTATGTACTTAGCATTTGCATAAGGAGGCAAAAATAAGCCTGCCTAAGCACCGTTATATTGTTGTAAACCTACTGACAGTTATCTGAAGTGCTGTTCTAGAAGCTCAAATGAGCACTTTTGAGCAGGAATCCTAGTTTTCTCTGATTTAAAAAAAATCCTCCATTTTCAGATTTAAAAAAGGACCCCAAATCCACATTTTCTGTAATTAAAATGAAACAGTGGTGTTTCATTTTAATCATGGAAAAATGTGGATTTGGAGTTACTTTTTTAATCTGAAAATGTTGGGTTTTTTTAAAATCGAGAAAACCAGGATCCCTGCTAATGGGTGATTTGAGAGATACTTAGTCACCGTGAGGTATTGTTGTTGACTTTGTAAAAGTTTTACTTTGTGCCAGATAGCCTCTGTTGTGTTGGAAAAACCCAGTTGAGTTTCCATTGTTGGGATTGATATTTGCAATGCTTATCTGCATTCCTAAGGACGGTTTTTTCCTAAAAGCAATGCCATATATACATGCTATTTAATACAGTTTAAATTGCCTAATTTGGGCTGCCCTAGTCTGCATTAACTTTAATCCTCATTCAATGAAGATTAGTTAATTCAGATTGGAGCCAATTTTACCTTGGACCAGCCCAGCCATAATGATGGCTGTAGTCTGAATAACATCTAGAAAAATGTAACGTCTATATATGGCTTTTGAGGCCAGACCTTCATTTGTTATGAAACTGCATAGCTCTACCAATATAAAAGGGGGATATGCTGATTTATGCCAGCTCAGGATAGAGCCCATGATGTTCAGAAATCTGTAAAGGGCTCAGTATTCCTGAAGCGGGAAAACCTTGTATATAAATCTTTTCCCTATGTTGCATATTTCAGTTACATTTTCTGCAATGATAAAACAGATGCTTCCCTCAAGTTAAAAATACATATATGAGCCTTTCTCTTGTCTATAAAAAGCGTATGATGGGTGTAGTGCTGATGGATAAGAGTGTTACTTGAGATCTCTTGGATTTTTGAAATCCAGACATTTTGGAATTTTTGCCCCGCTCATGCCATTTCTTCATGATCACAAGTCCTACAGTCCCCTAATCCTTGCAACAAGAGAACGTGGTAATGTTTGTAATGCACCTTGGCACATCAATTCGCAAGACTGTATCTGATGGCAGTTTAGTCAGTAATGCTTCATCTACAGTTTGCTTCTTCATTAATTCCCCTCCTGACAAAATGCTCCACAAGTCTGAAGTGCATTTTTCCTAACAACATTAAATGAGCTTTTATAGGGTGCATTCCACAGTAAAAAAATAATCTAGTTATAATCTAGTTTGCTGTCTTTGGCAGATGTTTGAACTCTGGTTCTATCAGCCATGAAACCTGATATCAAAATGTATCCATCTGGTGAGAAAAATGGCAAAACCCATTGCTTAGAGAAGTCCAATACAATTTAAATTCCATGCATATTTCCTGAGTCTTTCACTGGAATTTCTCTGGCTGGATTTCTCAGGAAGATGTAGAATTACATGTTTTAAAACCTGGGTCAAATGCAAAAAAAAAGACTAGAATCACAGTCTCCCAGATAACACACACATTCTAGGGTTTCAAGAATTCCAAAGTAATCCATCCATGTGCACCAAATTCCTGGCATCCCATGAAAAGGAGGGGCAGAGAGGAAGTAACTGGCCTAACCAGAGTTCTTCTTAGCCCCACTTCAAGACAAAGATGCCATATAGAAAGCAAATGATGCCCATGACCCCACATGTCACCTAGAATCCGGGTGGGCTCAGGGACAATGTACTCCCAGAGGTCCACTCTATAACTAACCTTGTGAAGGGCGGTCCAATTCATCATTTTTCTTACAATACTATTGCTGTAAGCTTAAGACTGCTTTTTTCCTCTGTAAAATACTTTTTATAAATCATGCAAGGGATACTATGGATCATCAGAATATTAAGAATATTTTTAAAAGACGACCTACCTCCTACTGAGGAGCTTTGCTGATCAACCAAAAATACTGAACCTTTATACAGGTAAGAAAGCACAGGAGCAAAGCTGGATGCATCTGTTGAAAATTCAAGATCCTGTATGATAACTCTAAGCCTTACTAAGATACTTCCAGCTTTCAGGGATTCAATTTGCACTTTCAGCTTCCCAGTTGTGTACAATGTGGAAATATTTGGTGGAAATGAGTTTCCAATCTGAGAAAAGGCAAAAGCAATACTTTAATCAGGAACACAATGGAAAGAACATGTTTAAAACAACTCATCATTATACTGTTACTGTTGTCAATATTTTACACATTATATACACATACACCAACACCCCATTTGCAGAAAATCATCAAGTTCATAAACAGCAAAAAACAAGACATCACTTGAGTCTAAAACACTCACACCAGATGGGAAAGACATACAAGTGTGAGTGAAGACTATAGCATGGATCCCTTTGGTATATCATGATGTTTCAGAATCGTAACTGCTTCTCAATGTAAGTATCATTGCTGTCAAACACTAATGCAGTTTCTGAAGTCTAATTTTCCTGTGCAGTAAGTCATTTCTCTGGCACTTTATGCCCAATTTAAGGCCTATTTACTCTGCCACAACAATGTAGAATGACTGAAATGTTAAAAAGACTCAGGACCTAAAAGAAGTGTGAAGTCAATATAGATGCTCATTATAGCTGAAACAGATCATTGAGTATTTCAGATTTTGAGCTAGCTCCTTAGCCCCAATAAGGAGATTAGCCTCAGACTTGGTTTATGTAGCCTAGTTGGGGATTCCCCTAGCATATGGAAATGCCTAGTGCTATGGAGTCAGTATTACCAGTTAATCCCCACCCAGTCCTGCCTTCAGGGCATCCTGGGAAAAACATGCATGCTGAAGTATCCAGTGCTCTGGCAGTCCCCAACTGCTGCACTGGTCCCAAGCTATATGCAAGATAGCTAACACCAGAGATCCAAATCAACATCAAACAGGCTCTCAGGTCAGAGATGGCATAGATCACATAAATTGTCTTCTATACCTTCCCTCCATTCACTCCACCCCATTCATCCTAAGGACACAAGGACAGGAGCAACTTTCTGCTATGAAGCCAACTTAGAAGCTTTTCTCTTTTGTTATACTTTACAGCGGGAGTGTCAAACTCATCTGGCCCCTCAGATTAGACCCACAGACTGGCCCCATGTACCACAGCCAGTCTGGAGAGCCAGTTTGGCACAGGTACCTCATGCAGCATGTGCCCCTGACCAGCCCTGCATGTTGCATGCAGTGTGCACTAGCCCTGATCTGGAGCTGCATGCAGCATGCTGCATGAAGTGCCCCACCTGACCAGCCCTGTGCCCTGGCTGTGGTGCATGGAGCCAGCCTGTGAGCCCCAGACCAGCGCCAGCACCAGGGCCAGTCCAGCAGCACACACCAGACTAGCTCTGTGCACCACCTGCAGCACGTGTGGCCTCAGCCAGTGTATGCTGCATGCAACACAGAAGGTTGGTTCAAAACCTATGGGCCAGATCCTCAGGGTCCATGGACCCGATCTAAACCGCAGGCTTATTTGACACCCCTGAGTTCAAGCCCTAACCCCCATTTTCAGATGTCACTCTGGCACTTCAGAGTTTAAGGAGTTTCAGTGACACTTAAACATCGAAATAACTGGTGAAAATAGGACTCAGACAAACTTTTGAAAACTAAGATTTTGAAAACTGTACCTGAAATGAACTGAAGCTATGGACTAAATTTAGCCAGGACTCAACTGATCAGAATTCCACTTTAATTAGAATTCCAATCCTAATTTCATTACAGTTGCATTTGCTTGCACCTGGGCTGAATTTGGCCCAGAAGTATCACATACATTAAAAGGGTAATGCTAATGAGGTACATTTCTCTCTCTCTCATCTGCTGATTTTGTCCCAAGTTCATCTCTTCAGCTCTAAGTGAACACTCACAGGCTACCATTGTTTGAAACATATTGTTCCAACTTAATTGTAGTTGAATCCAATTACAAAGAAATCTCAAGACAGAGACACAAGAAAAATGGATCAAAGAAATGGAGACTTATATACATTTATTTTCTTTGTGTTACTTGACATAAACCTGACACCACCAATAAATTATGCTTTACTAGCAATCAGCTAAGTAGATCTATGTATTGTGCTGGTGGAATTACAGCAGTCAGCAAGCCAGAGCATGGTGATGAGGTGCACACTGGGGGTCACACCAAGCTATTGACTCCATAAATTTGTAAGCTTGGGCACACAGAGTGGAGTGAACAGGCAAAGCTTATTTTTCATTGGTATGGCAGGTCTCATTCAGGAGGCAATGAAGACAAAGGCTGTGTACACATACTCAAATGATGAGGGAGAAGTCTCTAGAGTTGTTCTCTACGTAGAAAAACTTATCCGGAGATGCCTGATCAGACATTTGAATACAAAGCCAATGAAGAGCAGAGAGCTGCAGTGCTGATGCTATGGAGCCAGGGGGCCTGTGCAGACACCTCAGTGTGCTCTGCTGTCTACCTGGCAACAGATGGCAGCAATGCACAAGGTAGCCCTGAATGGCTGACCTAGACTGCTCAGAATCAGCCTATGTCGCTGTACAGCACAAGGTGGAACTGTATGTTTTGCTCCCTTCTCAGCTGGAGTAGCAAAGTCCAACCTGAGTGACACACTGTCTACCTGGCGGAGGGAAGGGCAGGAGGAAAGTACCTTGAGATGTTGTGCTGTGGCTGTTCACAGAAGGGTAAGTGGTACAGACACTCACTCTCCCAGGAGAAACTTGTGGTTTCTCCTGGGAGAGCAGTAACTCTCCCTGGAGAAACTGAATGTTTGTATGTGACCATGCCCTAATAGCCTGTGGCTTGATGTTGCACTGAAAATATGTTTTTATTTGAGTAAATAGCTACACCCATGGAAAATGGCCTCTACCACATACATGGTCTATTGGGGCATTTATACACATACCTTTGCTTGCTCCAATGCGACATGAGTCCAGTGCCTCAGAGCAGACTTGATCCAACAAGTTTGAAGAGCATGCAAGCTGATGTGCCCAGCACTGCATCACATTCATTTGTATAAATGGTAAAATGCACGTCAGTGCACAGAAAAAAGCAGTGGTGAACTTTTTAACCTAAAACACCTTCAATGTGTGTTAGTTCAAAAGTGCACTGCCGCCATTTTCTCAGTGCTGATACACATTTTGCTTTTTCTACAAATGCCATTGATGGCTACAGAAAACTTTATATTATTTTTCAGTAGAAAGTTACCCATTTTTCATGAGCAAGTGTCCAATTGGGTGGAGACACACCTGTTGTGCCTTCTTTTGAAAATGTGACCCACAATATACAGTCTTTTTTATCCTTATAATCATAAATGGATCTACATTACCTTGACTGTGGGGAAATTCTGGGCTTGGGTTATGATCTTAACTTCATAATCTGGGCCTGATTCAATAAAATGGATTAGAAACAGAAGGCCATATTTGAAACTCCTCGTGCTTTAGAGAACTTCTCATCTGATTCCAAATTTCATGATACAAGTTGATTTATTTCTTCTATCATGATTGCTGAATCAGTACAGACTGGACATGTCTACATGTGCCCCTGACTATGCGTTTGGTACTACATGGTCATTTAGTACTGGCAGGTACCGCACAGTCATTTAATACTTTCTTCAGTACTCACTGCTACATCAACGTAGTATGTAAGAATAACCATGCACCACAGAGACAGCACAGTACCGGGGAGGGTACTGCACAGTCATGTAGTACTTGCTTTAGCTAGGGGTTTAGCTAAAGCAAGTACTAAATGACTGCACTGCAATACCCTCTGGTATTGTGCAGTATCCGCTGGTATTTGGTACTGCGCATTTAATACTTGCTTTAGCAAATACTAAATGACTGTGCAGTACCCACCAGTACTGCGCAGTCCCAGCAGCGCATGGTTATTTTTAGACACTATGTTGCCATAGCAATGAGCTACGGTGATGTAGCTCATCGCTACAGTGACATAGCGTCTCATGTATATATGCTTACAGGATATAGTATGTCCATACCTAATGAATGAAGTTATAGAAAAATCTTGACCAGTCACTTCTTCTTGATGGATAAAGAGCTCCGAGAACAAGTAAAACTTGGTTAAAAAAGGGATCACACAGTTAATACAATGCCTCTTGAACACTTCAAAGATTCATTAAAAATCCTCAGATTAATTTACTGGAAATTAATAATTACAATAAAAATCTTCCAGGAAGGCGTCCATCCACCTCCCTGTTTTTAATTCACCCCTCTGAAAAGTAAAACTCTCACTGGCTTCAGTGATAAGAAGGTCAGGGCCCAAGTTTGCCTTCTTTTGTCCAATAACTTTTGTTTCAGTTAAAGGAAAGTCAGAGAAAATGGTGCAAGGATTTCTAATGGTTACTGTACATGCATAAAACTTCCCCATTACACTAAAAATTAATCCTATATAGAAAGATTACGCACACAGAGTTTAGTGTTACCTCAGTAAGCAGCAATCTTGAAAATTCTTGATATTCCAAGCTACTAGTGTTGTGGAGTTGTTCAGTGAAGTTATAGTTCAGGATCTTTATTGTAATCCCAAATATCTGGGCATCTATAAGACACATTAAAATAGTGATAGTGTAGAAGAGAAAATGGTTTGATCAAACTTGATGGACCCATATTAACATCTCAGATCTGGGCTTATGTCCAAAGTCAAATTGAGAGAAAATCCTTAGTGATGTAAATCAGCATAGCTTCATTAAAGTTAAAAGAGCTACTTTGACAAACACCAGCTAATTCTTCAGTGTTCCACCAGGGGTGCATGTTCTCCCTTGCCCTTGCTAGTGATTAACTTGTACCTCGTCACATCGGGTTGGTTAGCTAACGGAAATGTAGGTTCTGATCAGATTCAGACAAGGAAATCATATCTTGCTTACATGGGAATCAAACAGCCTTACAAATTTAAAACAAGGAGCTTGTAACATTAGTCAAGTGTATGAAACTCTGTAAAATACACATAGGCATAGGAGGGCAGCTCCATGCCTGGGGCAACCACAATGTAGAGAGCAGCATCAGCTGATAGCCACAGTTACTTTTGCGCCCTGTCCCGCAACGAAAATGGAACCTGGAGATACTGTCCCGGTCACACCTCACCTCAGTGTCTGCTGATAATACAACACAGCCTCTGCAAGCTTCCTTACACAGCTCTTGTCCATTAGCCCCAACTTGTCAAACACAAGCTCATCAAAATCTGGCCTTCACCTACACAGTCTCTTTCTTTGTGGTATTCTGAAAAAAGCCCTTCATTTATAACCTTGGGTATATCACTAGATTTCCTTGTTCATCCCTCAATCTAACTATATAAACAGGAAAAAGCAGGGTGACCCTCAAAATTCATGGGAAATGTGCTGTGTATCAATTGCAGCTGAATGTGCTGCCAAGCTGTAAGTCCACACAATGTACATTAGATTTATGTCTCCAGTTGTCTGAGTCAGCATCAAGCAAATGCACTGCTTAATCAACTGCATAACAAAAGACCCACATCACTCAGAATATGCCCTGCTCATCTGATTATCTGTATTGAACTGGCATTGGCTTAACGGAAGAAGAGTGTTTTGAAAAAAAGATGGAAATGAGTTTTGAGGGGATAATGGAGTATCATTAAAGCATAGAAAATGGGTACAGAAAGAAATGGAATATCTCAAATTGGATACTTACTAGTTTTAGCACTTTGATGGGAGATGATGGTTTTTCCACAAGTTTCATAGCTTATCTTCACCAAATACATTATACCTGCTTCCAAGTCAGACACATCCACTCTCGTTTCTGTAGTGGCCATGCTTTTGAAGATATCTTTGTCCTTGAAAACTTCAACTTGGAAAGTGTGATTCAGAGTGGAATTCACACTCCAGGATACTTCAAAACTGCTACTAGTAACACTGAAGATTCTGTGGTTTCTAATTGCAGAAGAATCTATAGTAATATTGGGGAGACTCATCAAAAGAGAAAGGAACATTTTGTCCAAGGAAACATCCAAAATGCTTCTTTTATGATCAATAAGGTAAAATTGCTCTTGGCAATATACAAAGCCAGATTCTGCCACCCCTGCACTGAGTCATCCTTTGTGCCCTAAGTGGCCCAATTAAAGCAATTAGTTATATACATTTATTACTAATGTAACAGTTATTGTTTGTTTTCCATTTGCCACTAGCACTTGTGATTGATCCACAGTAATACAAATACCTATTCTGATAGTGATGGGATTAATCATGAAGTAGAGTACTACTCATATTAAGTAAGGATGCAGAATTATGAATCAGTCAAGAAAAGCCTTCACTGCCCTTGGAATAATGATTATATATAAAATATGTATAAATGTTTTGTATTTGTATTGGTTTATTCATCAGACAAATGCTGTCCTGATTTATACCTGAAGTCACACCACTAATTTCAGTGATATAAGTGAGAGAAGAATATGGATTCACTCTCTTTAGGAAACACTCAGGACTGAATTGGAGAATGTGGCATCAAGAAACCATAATTTCTGTTCTTCTTTTTAAAGCTGATTGAGCTTCTTCAGAAAATAAAGGAATAAAAATTTCTTAAAAACAGGTCTGTTTCAACAAAACAGATATATTCCCAATCTCCTGACATAGTTGCCTACTAGATAAGTCCTAAGGACTGGAGACATAGGGCCTTTGTACACACCACAAAATTGGCCTTTAAAGCGGCTTAAATGCCCTTTTGCACCACTTTAATGGTGCGGCTGTTTACACTGATGGCAGCATAATGCGCCTTAATGGTGTGTCTGTTTATACTGTTGGCATATTGCACAATAAATGGGATAAACGCAGCGATAAACGCAGCAAAGTAAAACACCTCCAAGGTGTTTTAGTTTGCTAGGTCACAGCCACGGAGGGAAGCACTGGGCCCCATGCAGCTCAGGGGCTGTACAGGAAGCCCATGCAGGCAGCCCAGCAGCAGCCTGTGCAGGCAGGCTCGACTGAAGGAAAATACATAAATAAAAAAGCAGCAAGCCTGATCTTTTTTTTTCCCTCCCCAGAGCCTGCCTGCCTACCTGAGCTGCACGAGGGCCTGGTGCTCCCCTGCATGGCTGCTGGTGGCCAGTGATTCCCTCCACGGCTGAGGTGCCCCCGGGACCACCTGGGTTGGGTGCCTGCATGTGGGTGCCACCTGGGGGACACCATCACCTCAGAGGGAAGCACTGGCCCCCCTGTAGCTCAGGGACTGCTCAGCCTGCCGGCAGTTCACCCTCCCCTCCCCGCCACCAGAGAGGCAGGTACACACCATGGGGATTTACTTCAGTTTAATTTTCCCTAAATTGAAGCAGTAGGTTTCTGAAAACACCGCTTCAATTTAGGGAGAATTAAACTGAAGTAAATCCCTGTGGCATGTACAAACAGCCATATCTACTTTTCTAAAATAACTTTAATTTAAACCCTCTGGTTGAGGGTTTAAAGTTGAGGATGAAGACAGGAGTCAAAAGCAGTGAACATCTCAGTGATTTAGACAAAAGATAAGTTTACAACCTTTCTATCCCATAAGAAAAATGGAAAGAGATTATCCATGGGATATTTCTTAAGTAAGGGAATTAAACTAGGGCATACAATGGTTAATCTCTTGCGGCTCTTTCTTACTGTTCTCCATCAGATGTCACTGTAGATATCATAACTCAATCATTTTCAGGACAGAAGGGAACGGAACAAGTGATGAAACCCAATGTTACTTACAGCATTCTGAATCAGTAGAGTTCTCAGATTTTGGCAGAACAATTGTTGAATTATCTAGAGACACAGAACTATTGCTAGTACTAACTGGATCCAAAGTTGATCTTGTAGTAGACTCTATCATGTATAAGGAAAAAAGGAAATTATTAAGCAAAACAAATTATCTAGTAAAAGATATCCAAAATAAAAATCATCTACACATGCAAAAGCTTATAAGCCTTCAGACTAAACTAGTACAATATGCATAATAAAATATTTTCCCTCTTTCCATTGATACCTTAAAACTACCTTAAATCTCAAAGGATAACAAAGCTGTTTGCTAAGGCCCTGCTAACTCTAATTTACTTGCTTAATGCACACAGTTCAACTGAAATCTGTGGGCTCTATGCAGATGCCTAAATGTTTTGTTGCATTGGTTCCAGGAAGAAATGTTGACAGTGGGTGATTTGACCTTAGAAGTTCGCAGGAGTTGAAGCTAAGGTTTTGGCAGATGGACTGGGGTCAGCTAAGTTTTTTGGCAATAGGAAAGCACAAGGGATAGCTTGGAAATGTGAGATGAGGACAGGGATGTAAAATGATCAGCAGTGAAGCAGCAAACTTCCAGCTCCTCTGTAATCCACCAATGACAACTCGAGAGAAAGCAGAGAAAAACTGTGCTGCAAAAAATCATGGCTTGCAAATGGCTTCTGATGGTGTGTTAGAATATCCCCCACATGGGTGCTCACCACTTCTGGGAGGAAAAAAAAGAAAATCAAACCCACTTTTCTTACCTTTACATCCTCCACTCAGATGGCTAGAGTTTGTGTCCATATGTTCAGGCTCACATGTACAATTGTAAAAACCTTCCATGTTTATACAAAGCTCTTTTCGGGGACATGCATTGAGTTCAGCATAGGAACATTCATTTACATCTAAGGAGAGGAATTCAATTTAGGATGGAATTTACAGGTATCCTAAAAGCAGTATTTAGATTCATGACACGTAAATCCAGAGTATGAACCCAACTACGCAAAGGTGAACCTGAAGTAACCCTACCTTTGCGTAGGAGTAACTGAGATGAAAAGCTGGGCTACGAGAAATTGAAAAAACCCCTACTTTGAAAGTGTTGTTTTTCATTCTCAAGGCTAATTCCCCAATGAAGCAATTTTCTATATAAATTATACAAGGATGTTTGACTTTGGATAGTGTTCATGGCTTGTGTCTAATTCAGTGCCCATTATAGAGGAAGCAAAAGAATTGAGGAATAGAGGAATGCCAGTTCCAACTGAATCTCTTTCCTGCCTCTCTCTTGCCTCTGCACCCAGAGATTCCATTGCACAGCTGTGTTCTCCATGAAGTTTTTGGCACTCACAAGAACTTCATGGAGGAAAGGAAAATGCACTTTCTTGTTACCACTCCCAGACCTCATGGTTTGGCCATGAAGGAGTGTGACTGCAACACACATCTACTTCATTCTTAGTACTTCCCTAGCACCAGTTCTGATCCAATTCTACCGCTTCCAGATCTATTCTATTTGTATGACCTCAAGATTGTTTTCACAAACTTGACAATTAGTGTAGCCCTTTCTTACAAATCCAGGGCATAGTTTTACACCTACTAAAACTGTTGAAGATCCTTGCATTGAGCTCTGTAGTAGATGGACTGAGTCTTCACAGATAAGCAAGCATTATTCTTTTTTTTATGAAAGCAGTGTCTAGCCATGAATATTTTGGAGCTTAAATGTTTCAACACTTAAATAGCCATATTTGTTAGATCAATCATATTTAAAAATGACAGGATCCAAAAACGTGCTCTAAATATTAAGAATAATAAACTATAATATATTTACTATTTTGTCCCTAATTCAGGACAATATGTCTTTATATTTAAAATAAACATAAAGATGTGCTACATTATTATGAAATTGTATTGTTCCTTGAGCAACCAAGAACATTCCCCACCAAAATACTGATATCCAAAATACTACTAATTATAAACTTATTTTGCTCTCAAGTGGGTGTTTTACACACGCCTATTTAAAATTTTCCACCATATAGTTCCCATGAAAATCAATGGGACACAAGAATAACATCACTGAAAAAGGTCCCCAAAGGACATTGTCATACTAAACAATCACCTTGTACATCTACATCGATAACTTCATACACACGCTTCATAATGGCTTTCAGCAAAGAAGAAATTGTTATTAGTGAAGCTGGTTGATATAATCCAATGAGAATATGAGATATTACTGTTCCAGAGTATGTTTCTGTGTGAGCAGTCTGAATGTGGTACACTGAGGAATGAAAGGGCTGTAGTGCACCAGTCATCTGTTAAAAAAAGAGATGAACAAGTTTTTGGTTTCTTTAGCAGTATAACTGAGTAACATCCTAATAATTAATACTAAACTAAGAAGAGCAAGAACTGTTTCAGACTTAAAAAATTTAGGCAATAAGCAACATTCCAGATTGTCATATTTCAGAGAAAAAGAAACTGGATGTGAAGAAAATTCTTGAGACCTTTTTAGGAGGATGCATTGGAATAGGGACCTGGAATTTGGCAAGGAGGTGGCCTGTGTCAGGAATGTGTTAGCTGTTGTTCCTGCAAAAATCTACCCCAGTTTGACTAAAGTAAAAGCCTTTTAATAATTTGAATTTGCACAAACATGGTAGAAATCACTTACATTCAATTTAAGCTAAATCTCTGAAAATTCCATATCTAGCTCCAGCTTCTAACAGCTTCCCAGTCTGTGCACACACTGTCCCCACAAAGTAAGTGATCTTTTGTATGGGCTCACTAGGACTCTTCCTGTAACTGGAAGTCTCAGTTGTGTCATTCTGGGGCTGAGCATCAGAAACTTTAACTAGATATTGACAACACAAGTCTATGACTAATTGTGCAAGGTAACTTGCACTGACAGTCAGAAGAAGACACTGGGACTGGCTGGGCAAAGGAACTGGAGTTGAGAGTCAAGAGGTAGACAGAGATGGCTGACTTTGGCTGGGCAAGAAGAGGGGGATTAGATTCTGTAAGAGAGATAAGAACAGGGAAAACACATCTCATGAAAAACAGTTACACAGGAATCTAAATCTTGCCATTTCTTAACTTTTGAGCACTTGACTTCGCAATATTAATTTTCCTTTACCCTGTTCTTAGGGTGTAATTGTTATCTATAATGCATGTACTATAGGTGCTCTGCAAGCTAGGTTGGTGTCCATAAGACATTACAACTTGGCTGATCATCACAGAGATGAGGTACTGGTATGCAATGTAGTGAAAAAATAGTTTCTGTTTGACATGGCTTGTTGTAGCTAAGTTATTTAATATATACTCCCCTATTACTGTCCTCTACTGGTTAACCTACTCTTAAGAAGAAGATTAGGATTGGCAGCCTTTAATCTTATTAGGCTATAATGCAGGAGAGTCTAGGTTCATAGGAAAACCCAATTATATATACACATCTATACATATACACACACGTTACTCAGCTACAATGTGCAGGAGACATTAGTGATGAGGGGAAATAAAAGCACACACAAACTGGTAGTTAAAATAAATTGTGTTGGATATGGTGGGCAAAGTGGGAAAGCCCATTTTATTTGGATTTTGCCGTTAAACCTTCTCTAATAATTACAGATAGGTAAATCTTGGGGCAGGGGAGAAAAAAAACTTTGATTTTATCCAAATACACTTCTCAAAACCTTGATGCCTATCTAGACTCCCTGGGTGCGTTCAGATGAGCGTGCACGTGCCTCTTGCCCTGTCTCAAACCCCTTTGAGATGGGTCAAGAGGCGCGTGTGGGAACAAAAAAACGTTCCCCATGCTGCAAGTTTGCAGTACGTGGACGAAATTAGACCCCTGGACATCCAGAGGTCTAAAAAAAAACAGAGTTAAAAAAGTGGGGCAGGAGACCATGCCCTGAGGCAACTGGAGGCTGGGTCCTCCACAAAACCACTCTGGCTGCCAGAGCGACTCTGTGGTTGGCCCTCACCCTGGTGCTGAAGCCTGCTGCCTGCCAGGTAGCGTGCTTCAGCAGCAGGGCTCCAGTGCCAGTAAGTAAGGGGTTGCGGGGGCTGGAGGAGGGGAAGGGGACTATGGGTGGGGCACCTGCTGGCCCTGCCCACCCCCACAGTCCCCCCATCCCTG